GGTTGGTGGGTTCAAGCCCCATGTCGGGCTCTGTACTGACAGCTCAGAGCCTGGAGCTGCTTTGGATTCTGGGTCTCCCTCTTTCTCTGTCCCTTCCCTACTTATGCTCTGCATCTCTCTCTCTCTCAAAAATAAATAATAAAACATTTAAAAATAAATAAAATGATTTTGACAAAGGTAGAAATGTACAGTGAAAAAAAATTCTCTCACGTGCAGCCAGAGAGAGAAGCCTGATTAATATTTTATGAGAGAGTGAGAAGGAAATCATGCTAAATACAGTTATATGCGGCTTCTTGTTGTTGTTGTTTCTTTATTTTTAAACCTCTTTGGAGGTTTAAACGAACAAAGTCATTCTTTTTTTTTTTTTTTAAAGTAAGTTCCATGCCCAATGTGTGGGGTGGGGGGAGGTGGTGGGGACAGGGTTGACCTAAAGACCCTGACATTAAGAGTCACACACTCCAACAACTCCCAGGCAGGTGCCCGAAACCAATAAATAAAAATACACTGAACAAATGTTTACTGAATATCAATTGCCTGTGATCAATGAGGAATCATACTATTACTAAAAGGCATGTGACAGCTTATGATCACTCAGTTCTGAGCAGTTGGAAGGGTCTTGGTCACAGCTCCTAATGCTCACTGATCTCTCCAACAGGTGCGAGGTCCTACTGGGATTGGTATGCTGGTGACCAAGATCAGTTTTTCAGCGAGCCCACAGTGCTGCCTCTTGAAATTCTTAAGCCTCAGGGAATTACTCCACACCCTCTAACTTCCTGTAACTGATCACCAAGGTCAGCACATCTCTACCTACAACTCCTCTTACTGTAATATATTTAAGTTGGTGTTTCCACTGCACTGCAAGATCCCTGAAGGCAGGGCAAGGCTGAATTCTTCTCACCTTTTTAAAAATCCCCCACAGTGTTTTTATAGTGCCTTCAAAGGACTTAAAATATCTGTTAGAATCCTACTGAAATTTTCAACCTTTTTGTACCCTATCAAGCCTACTCAGATACAACCACAACAATAAAATTGCAATAAGATAGAGAAAAATCAGTGGATGTTCATAATAAAGCACAGAAAATAAGTTAGGTTAAAGCACTATTACACATGAATCATGACCTGTGCTATTATTAATAACAATACCAGTAACATCTAAGTGTAAGCAATTACTCTACACTACTGGTCACTACAGACCATTGTTTGCTTTCAAATATGAATGACATCCCAGTTCAAGGCTGATGTAACTCCAGTGACCGTTGTATCAGAATAGCACAGTAGTTCAATAATTTTGTCCAGAAAAGACAGAGATGCAGAGAGAGAGAGAGAGAGAGAGAAGTGAAAGAACAACCCAACCTTTCGGTTCTGCACGCCCTTCTTTCCCATTTTGCCAATCTGATTTCACTCATAGTGACTCATTGTGAAACGGAAAACATGAGAATTGCATTCAGATGTGCAGAGGTTAGTAACTACTTAGTTTTCAAAAACAGCTCATCTTCAGAAACACTATAGTTGCCTTCCATTCCATTTCACTTAGATTGGCATCTGAACAGCTGCAAAAAAATTCCTTAAAGTCTAGAACATTCTTACGTTAAACACTCCAAAGAGATATTTTAAAGGAGGCTATGTGTATTCATACTGGCAGGGAAGGCATTGCCATCTCTCATCAGTCTGGGGATTTCCGCTGGTTTCTTACAGTCATTTCATCTCCATTTTGCACTCTGCCCCTTGCTATGCCTCAAGGCCCCACTTTTCCTGTAACCAATTTCTAAGAGCCAATCAAGAAGTAAAGAAGAGGAAAACCGCCCGCCCGCTCACAATTTCCTTCTCTCTGCTGCTCACCAACCTCAGAGCCGACTGAGTCACAGCGGCTGTCAACTCTAACCCAGCTCAGCTGGTCGGTTGCCGCTGCCGCCGCCGCCAGATTCCAGAGGGGAAGAACGAGAAGCTGAGAGAACAGACATGGACGTGAATTTCGCTCCGCTCCGTGCCTGGGACGATTTCTTCCCTGGCTCTGACCGTTTTGCTCGGCCGGACTTCAGGGACATTTCCAAATGGAACAACCGCGTGGTGAGCAACCTGCTCTATTATCAGACCAACTACCTGGTGGTGGCTGCCATGATGATTTCCGTTGTGGGGTAAGTGGGGTCCCCCTCCGGGGCACCGATCGAGGGCGGCGCCGTGGGGCTCTGGGATCTGCAAAAGATCCAGGGATGTGAAAAAGCTCTCCACGCCCAGCCTCCACCCTGGCAAGTGCAAGCGGCGGAGCCAGTGGGAACTTGTCCGGGCGAGGCCGCAGAAATCTTGTGGTCCCCCTTTTCCATCCCGCGCCTCGGGCCGAGAAGTCGGGGATTCCTAGGGGTGAGGACATTTTGCTAGCTTCGGACAAGAAAAATGACTCCCCACCCCCACCCCACCCCCACTGTGCCCTGATTAGGCACTTGCTGAAAGAGAGATTTGCAGCGCCCCTGTCTTGTAAAAATAAGAAGGGAGAGGGAAGTGGTGAAACCCTATCCTGAGGCTGGCGGGAATGGGCGCCGCCCTGGGAGACTTGGGCGACAGGGTGTGGATCCGGACTCTGCATTCTGGGGGTGTTAGTGTAAAAAGGGTACCTAAGAAGTGACGCGTTTTGTCGGTGTCTCCGCGCAGTGCCCGCCACAGTGTACAAGGAGGCTGAGCTTGGGAGCAGGAGGGTGGGTGTTCCCTGGTGGCGCATCTCCCGGTGTAGGGTGAAGGCTGCCCTGACTCTAGGAATGGGGTTCTCTTGCTTTTTCATCCAAGAGTTGTCAGGCGTGATCAATCTCTACCTTCACTTCCTGGTCTCAGAGTATTCAAGGCCTTCTCCATGCCTGATCGTAAAATAAAATGTTCTGTGTTACATAGGATTCCACCCCTTCCAGCAGACGCACCTGCTTTACTAGAAACCACCTTTTCTTGTAGTTTACCCTTTAAGAAATGCTTCTTTTACGTTTGCAGGATGGTGAAATTCTAGATCTTGCTGATTCTCTGCCCCTTTAAAAGAGCCAGCCTCAGACTTTATAAGGGGTAATTGCCATTGCAGAGGGAAAGTACAAGCTGGCCTGGGAGAAAGAGGGGAGATCCAAACTTGGAGGGTGTGGGAAAGGCCAAAGAGGGTGGTTTCTTGAGTTAGTTTTCTGGTCTTCCGCGTATTGAGTCACTTCTCTGGGCCAAGCTTGGAACACACCAAGAACAATCAGACATGGATTCTAGCCGTCGGGCATGTGGCAGTTGTTGAGAAGCCACAGGACCAAGTACACAGCACAGAGGAGAGAGTTCACACTTTCTAGATGTGGTTCAGAGTAGTTGCCCCCATGCAGAAGAGAAGGCTCCTTGGTGGGATTTAGTAGCCAGTGACACAGACCCTCATTCTGTGTTGCTTCAGGAATCACAAACTCTGAGAATGGCTTAATGTGTGGAGGGCAGAGGCTCTGAGGTGACTCCGAGAGTGGCAGCCAAGTTAAAATTAGTTGGAGGTAGGAGAGGCCTGAGGCCTGAGGCAGCTGCCTCCGAAATCTTCCCCTAACCTTCTGCTTGAGGCTCATTTCCCAGAACGCTGAGAAATGTCTTTAAACCAAAAAACAAATAGTATATAGGATTGCATTTGTTGGTTTGCTTTCTTTTTCTTTCCTGCCTTTTGGTAAAGATGCAAGCGAGACACTTTATCTGGCGATCTAGATATGAGGCTTTTTTGAGGTAACCCCCTAAACTTAGATATGGGGCAAGGTTTGACACAGACCAGTCAAATGTTCAAAGAAAACTGTTGCTTTTCAAAGAGGTGTACTGCCCAGACCAGACACAGGCTTTGATGGAATCCATTTTTCACTGTGAAGGTCAGGGTCCAGCCCCCTAACTAAATATAGCTCCCTCATTATGGTGCCTTAGCCTACTAACTCTGGCAATTTTGGAGTGTTGGCCTTACCATTCTCCTTTTCGAAAAGGAAATGTTGGTTGGCAGTGACATTTTTGAAGATGAAAGTGAAAAAGAGCCGTCTTTATTTTTTTATTATTCTTATTTTTAAAGCTATACAAAAGGTATAGGCCAGAAGTAAATTGTTTTGAAAATTACATGTGGGTAAAATATGAGATTGCCTCCATACCCCAGTAAAAATTTGGTATACGATCTTTAACTACTTTCTCTGTGTCCACAGCACACAGTCAGTAATTTTTCCACAAATGACTTTTCTTTATAATCTAATAATAATAAAAGCAATCATTTCTTGAGTGCTCTGTGTGCCAGGCACTTTGCTAAGTAATTTACTGTATTATCTTATACAACACAGTGAGATGAGATGAGATATCATCATCATCATCATTGTTGTTGCTGAGGCTCAGAGAGTATAAATGACTTGCTTAAAGTCACAGACCCCAGTCTTGTGCTCCTAACCACTATCCCGTCTTCTTATGAGTCATGAGGTTTAGAATTATAGTGTCTTAAACCTGGAAGAAACCAAGTATCTTCAGGATCAGAGAGCTTAGCTGATTCTGGAACATTTCTCATTCTAAAGAGAACTCTCCTCTCTTGGTGATGTCAGTAGATGGGTGGGTCAGAGCAGTGTTATAATCTGTTTATCTGGATCCTCTGTAGGCATCTGATAGCTTCCTGTGATATCCTGGTACAGTGTGTGTGAAAATGTGGCCTGGGTGTTTACTGGGGAAGGGACTGTGTTCAAAGGGTGTTCTTCAATGGTTCTGTCCCCTAATAGTGAGGAGGGGCCTCCAGAGCATTGTTGGAAGGCTCTAGCCTCAAAAGTGAATGCTCCTGTGTTGAAAACTGACTTGGGTGAGAATGGAGAGAGCCTTCTCTTCCGGATTGCAGAAAGGAAGAAGGAAGACCAAACACATATCATCTAGCTTCAAAGACAACAGAAAAGGCTGCCTTGGTAAAAATGGACATTAAGAGGGATTAGGATAGACATAAATCTGTAGTTGACGGCCTGATCAGGCAGGGCCTCATAATCCATGGGTAGAAATTTGGTCTTCATGCTCACTTCAGCAACGCATATACTAAAATTGGAATGATACAGAGATTAGCATGGGTCCTGTGTAAGGATAAACATACAAATTTATCAAGTGTTCCATGTTTAAAAAAAAAAAAAGTTCGGCCTTCATCCTAAAAGCATGGTTTACCAGGCATGTGACTTCCTCTCAGTAGGTCTACTCTAGCACTTAGATTAATTTTGTGTAAGTTTCTTAGCTAACAGCCCTTGTTGAAGATGTCATATTTCCTGGCTCTTCAAATAGTAGTGGTTAAGGGTTCAAGCACCAGAGCCAGATTAGATAAATTTTTAAAACCCAACTACCAGTCATTAGCTGTGTAACCGTGGACTTGAACTACACCTGTTCCTCAGCCTCCTCATCTATAAATGAGACTAATTCTAGTACCTGCCCTCATAGGGCTTCTGTGAAGATTACTTGAGTTAATACAAACAAGGTTCTTAGAATAGTGCCCAGCTCTTAGTTTTTGTTCCACAAATGTTACTTGTTATTTTTTTCATCATTGTTGGTATGATCACAGAGATTACTGAGAAACAGAGACAGCATCGGTATCCCAGCAAGCTGTATCCACCCAAGCTCCAGCTGCCGACTTACCTACTCCTGCTTCTCCTTCAAGACTCAGTGTTGGTACCATCTCTTTGAGGAAACATTTTCCCTTTTTCCCTCACTCTCTTGTGTTAACTGAGCCACACGCCTGTGCCTTTATCTTTCCTGGTAGTTACCTCACAGGCTTTTAAGTTGTCTGTTTCCTTGTCTCCACTCCGGACTATAAATTCATTGAGATGAGACCATGGGTTTAGTGTGTGATTTAAGGTTTTCTTGTTGTTGTGGTTATCATTATTTTTATTCTCTGCATCCCTGAGGCCTACTATATAGCAGATGCTTAGCTGGTGAAAGTAAAGAGTAAATAAATGAGCAGAAGGCCTCAGTGCAATCATTGAGGTTTTAACCTACCTAATGGAACCAATTATTTTGAAGCACATAGAAGCATGCTAGTACATAGCAACAAGATGCTCCTCAAGTGATTCTAACTGGGTCATTGCTGACAGCACTTGCTACATGTTGGTCAGGATTACTATCATGTAAAATATTCAATTTAGAAAAGATCAGAATTCAAGTTCTTCACTAATTCCCATTGCCCTTGTAGAATTTAGGTGAAATACTCTCTTGCAAGCTTTCTCATCAGCACAGTGACAATTTGGATCATATAATTCTGTGTTGTAGAGGGCTGTCCTGTGTGCTGTAGGACAGTTAGCAACATACCTGCCCTCTACCCTCTGGATGACACCATCAACCAGGCTCTCAGTTGTGACAGTCAAAAATGCCTCCAGACATTCCAAGTGTCCCCTGGGGGTCAAAATCATCTCTGGTTGAAATCACAGGGGTATAACCTTGGACTTGAACTACGTCTGTTCAAGTTTCTGTTGCTAAGAAAATCATGATAATTTAGTGATCACCTTCATTCACTAAGTAAGTTGGTTTATAACAAGTTACCAAAACAGAGCTCTTGTCAGTTACCTAGCAAAACAGTTTGGTTTTAACACCTAGTTTCTGACTTTTCAAACGTAAGAATGGAGCAGATTTGAAGGTTACACAGCTTTGATGATGATCCTTGATTTATTAAATTTGTTATGCTATCCTTCTTTTATTAATTTGCCTAGAAGACTCTGCTGGTTCCACAGACTCAGACTTTTATTTTCTAACAGAATTCTGGCAGTTGCTTTTTTTGTTTTCTGCTCAAAAGTTCACTTGCTCTGTAACTCCTATAAAATAAGAATTGTATGACTTAATTAATATAAAGTACATTAAGGCCTAGCGAGTGATAATAATTCCACATTAGCTGCTGTTATTATATTAAAGCTAGTTTACAGGTATACTTGAAATTCTCACAACTTGTGTATTCTCTTAGAAGTATTAGAGGATGCATACACTTTAGTGGTTTTGTCATGGTTGCAACTTGTGCTTCTTACAAACACTTGTGTTGCTTTCCTTGAAGACTTCAGTTTCGTTTTCAGATTCAGGCTTCGCTTCAGAAGAGAAAAAAGAACAGCATAAGTAACAAGCTGGGAAATATGTGTTTTGCTGAAAGTGGCTTTGTATTTTTTAAATCAAGATTGAAGAGGACATAACTTATCATCCCCATCCTTGACACAGTACATCTTGGCACTAGATACTCTTTTATTTTTTTCTTTTAAAGTAATCTCTACCCTCAAGATGGGGCTGAAACTTACAACCCCGAGATCAAGAGTCAAGTGCTCCACTGACTGAGCTAGCCAGGAGCCCCTAGATACTCTTTTTACATCACACACAGCGATGCAAGCCTCTGCCTCTATTTTCAAAGTGAAACGCAAAGGCAACACCTAACTACGCTTGAAGTCTCAGTGCTTAGGTATGGGATACATTCTGATTGTGGATGGGAAGTGGTGTGTGCTTAACAGAATGCCAAAAGATTGGAGCTGGAGAAATCTAAATGTGTTCCGGGTCATGGAACACCAGGATCTTTCACCTTGGGAGCTTGTTGGAAATGCAGAATTTCAGGCCCCTTCCCAGACCTACTGAATTAGAGTCAGCTTTCTGACAAGACTCCCAGGTGATTCATAGGCACATTAAAATTTAAGAAGCACTGATCTGGTCTGGTTCAAAAGAAACATAAATAAATGTACTCACATGCGCGGGTGTTAACTTCAGAAATTCTACATACATCGTTTTTGGAATGGTCCAAGTGATTCCGATATACATTCCCCAAGTTGAAGTTGAGAAGTACTGATCTCATCAAACCCCCAGTTTCACAGATGTAAAGTCTGGAGTTCGTGCAGCTAATTAGAACCAAAAACTGCTAATAAGCAGTAGCTTCTTTTATTGATATGAAGTAAAGGACTTTTTTTGTTAAATCATCCTGCAATATCCTGAAGCTCTTATTTAACCTAATTCATCTGAATAGTCGACTCTCACACATTTGTAATTAGTTGCCCGTCTTATTCTCACAAATTCCTCCCTGCCAACAGGACTCTTATTTCTTGGCATGGCAGCAGAAGCACCAACCACACACAGAATTTTCAGCACATCTGCAGCCAACAGGCTCATTTATTTTCATTTGTGTGCGTTCAGGCTTCCCCTTAAGACATAACGGTGTAGGGGCGCCTGGGTGGCTTAGTCGGTTAAGCGTCCGACTTTCGCTTAGGTCATGATCTCACGGTTCGTAGGTTCGAGCCCCGCGTCGGGCTCTGTGCTGACTGCCAGCTCAGAGCCTGGAGCCTGTTTCAGAGTCTGTGTCTCCCTCTCTCTCTGACCCTCCCCTGCTCACGCTGTCTCTCTCTCCCTCTCCTAGAAATAAATAAAAAAAAATATTAAAAAAAATGTATTTAAAGACTGAGATGAAGTGTAAAAGTCATATTTAGGTATTCTATGGCCTAGNCCCCCCCCCCCCCCGCTCACGCTGTCTCTCTCTCTCTCTCTCCTAGAAATGAAATAAAACATTAAAAAAATTATTAAAAAAAAAAAAAAGACTGCACGGTGTAGCTGCTGAACAAACAGGCCTGTGGAGGTGTTACCAGAGGGAGGAATCTGTAGATGCCACTTTATGCTACTAGTTGCTTGAAATGGCAAGGGATTTCTGGAAGGCTGGTACTTCTGTTTGCAAAGAGCACTGCTTGAATCTCTTCAGAATGAGCATGGTCCTATAATACATTCTAAGCCTTCTGGCTACCAGCATCTGGTATTAAAACATGGTCAGATAGTCTGTACCTTTTAATGCTGCAAGGACGAAAACCCCAGGTTCCTAGTTGGTAAAGGAAGATCAGGATAAGAGAGCCCTGGGATGCTCTGGAGCACAAAATATTAAAACATTTGCAGATGGAACCAATTGCAGTTATCTTATGCCAAAACCTAATCCCAAAAACATTTTTGAGATTAATCGGCTTCACCACCAATGCTACGATTATTACTCTTATTTTTGTTGTTTTACCCATTCACTCCACAGAGTATGAAGCATTTACTAACTTCTCAGGCATTGTGCTAGGAGATACAGGGCAGAATAAGAACCTGTGATCCCTACCTTCATCATGTGTGGAGTCCAGAGGGGCTGCAAGATGCAACTACACACAGAACAATTAATTTTTCTACAAGGACAACAAGTGTACAGAAATATACACTTACATAAACATATTCTCTTTTTTTTTTTTTGATATTTATTTTTGAGACAAAGCATGAGTGGAAGAGGGACAGAGAGAGAGAGGGAGACCCAGAATATGAAGAAGGCTCCAGGCTCCAAGCTGTCAGCACAGAGCCCGACGCAGGGCTCAGCGTGGGGTTTGAACCCACGAACCCCGAGATCATGCTCTGAGCTGAAGTCAGAAGCTTAACCAACGGAGCCACCCAGCTGCCCCAAACAGATTCTTTTCAACCTGATTTATCTCATTTTCCCTTGTTCATTATGATGCCAAATTTCAAAACTCAGGTGTTGAAAATGGGAAAGGCATTGAATATGTAGACAGGGGAAAGGGTAATCTTTTAGTCAGTTGAACAAGTACTTACTGAGCACCTGCTCCCTGTGAGGCCCTGTCTAGGCCCTGAGGATATAAGCAGGAATACAACTCCACCCAGCTTTCCTAATCCTCCCAGAATTCACCTCTTCCTGCCCTCCCATACCTCTTTACCTGCATTTAAGGTACGCACATCCAATGTTGGTGTGTCTTTCCCTGACAGGTTATGTGCTGCGTATGAGTACAGAACTTAAAGAGGTCTGTCAACACCCAATAAAATTTTAATCTCAAAATTCTTCATCTAATAAGGATTGTCTTTCATTAAATCCTTGGGCACCATTTATACAACCTTGTTCTTGACTTCTCCCCACACACTTTTTAAAAAAATACTCCCTGCCACCATCAGCCGGGGGTTGGTTGGTTCTGTCTCCTTTTCCTACATCAGGATTTACAATGATCCTGGATAAGTGTGCAAATGAGCATATTTGGGATTCTTGGCCCCTTTCATAGAAAGCGAAAGCTCTCGATCTACTTAGTAGGGGCCAAGACCTCTGTAGAACAAATCCATTTCTAAAGAATGAACTTGACTTATCCACTTAATACCAGTTT